AGGACTCAGGGTAGAGTACAGTGTTGGGGTTGTTGCTTGTAAGGACTCAGGGTAGAGTCCAGTGCTAGAATTGTTGCTTGTAAGGACTCAGGGTAGAGTCCAGTGTTGGAGTTGTTGCTTGTAGGGACTCAGGGTAGAGTCCAGTGCTAGAATTGTTGCTTGTAAGGACTCAGGGTAGAGTCCAGTGTTGGAGTTGTTGCTTGTAAGGACTCAGGGTAGAGTCCAGTGCTAGAATTGTTGCTTGTAAGGACTCAGGGTAGAGTCCAGTGTTGGGGTTGTTGCTTGTAAGGACTCAGGGTAGAGTCCAGTGCTAGAATTGTTGCTTGTAAGGACTCAGGGTAGAGTCCAGTGTTGGGGTTGTTGCTTGTAAGGACTCAGTGTAGAGTCCAGTGTTGGGGTTGTTGCTTGTAGGGACTCAGGGTAGAGTCCAGTGCTAGAATTGTTGCTTGTAAGGACTCAGGGTAGAGTCCAGTGTTGGAGTTGTTGCTTGTAGGGACTCAGGGTAGAGTCCAGTGCTAGAATTGTTGCTTGTAAGGACTCAGGGTAGAGTCCAGTGTTGGAGTTGTTGCTTGTAAGGACTCAGGGTAGAGTCCAGTGCTAGAATTGTTGCTTGTAAGGACTCAGGGTAGAGTCCAGTGTTGGGGTTGTTGCTTGTAAGGACTCAGGGTAGAGTCCAGTGCTAGAATTGTTGCTTGTAAGGACTCAGGGTAGAGTCCAGTGGTGTTATATTCCCTGTCTAGACAGACACAGAGAAAGGGTTGGTGTATAAAGGGTTAACAAGCTGCAAATATGGCTGCCAAGGGAAGGCAGCTGAAGCGGTTTGCAAGATGGATCAATGGTTGGTGTATTGAAACCAACACTGCCAATAATGAAGGAATAATTGTGTAGTCCCCAAAAGCATCCAGAAAATGTGTGAGGCCCATGTACATTGCGAGGCTTCAAGCTGTAGTTTGCTTAGTCTGGGTTTAAACACTGCCCTGACAGAGAGTTGGATGAGATAGATGGGGGGGGGGGGGGAGGCGGGGCAGAGTATGCAGATGGGTGAACAGGTGAGCCCAGAGAGGAACAGTGTCAGGGAGAGAGAAAGAAAGGCTCGGTGAGAGAGTACGAGATGTGTCCAAGAAGGATATATTTACATCATCGTTGTGTGGCACTGTGGGGTGTCGTAGTTAATAGTTAATTACCTGTTCAGTTTACTGAGTTTATAGCCTGTTCATCTATAATATATATTATCTATATCTGTAGTAACAATTTTTGTTAATTTGTTATTTAAGGTTATGAACTTGATGTCATTTTGTTGCACACAAGAAGTATCATAACTGTAACTTAGCAACTAACAGATCTTATTCATTTCAGTGTGTGTACTGAATACTCACCTCTTCTCGCTTCAGATCCAGCGGTCCTTGCCATTTAATTGTAAACAATTTGCTGTCCATGAAAGGGTCGAAGCTCGATTCGACGACAACTGCGAAAAGTTGCACCAACAACAGTGCAGATGTTGATTTGACAGCGAGGACCCTATCCATAGTGTAATAAAGTTTTTACCTGTAAACTAGAGTCACAAATCTGACCAAACAAGGCTCTGGTACCGAGCTGAGAGAAACAAGGCGAAAGTCGACGTGTAAACTGTTCACCATTTCTGTAGGGACGTGATCTTCCACACAGGAGAGCTCCTACACAGCAGACGTGGGATGGGGCTATTGAATGAACCTAGTTAGTTTGTTGGATTGTCATCATTGCACCTCGGACATGTCCATAGGTGCTCAGATCCTCCCCTCAGTATGAACCCCAACGTACAATGGCGAATAGAACCAGTTCTATGTTGATTAACAAGTCGTCTGGTGTGCGTCACGTTTTTTGCTATGCCGATCTTAATTCCCAAGTCTGCCATTCTGGCGAGTGATGTGGATTCACTGCCTTTAAAGTCCTCTATCCCTCCCAACTTATTCAACGTTTATACGGCGATGATCACTGAGCAGCAGTTGAATGGAAAGGGAAGGACTTTGTCATTTGCTGATGACATTTTGATTTATCGACGAGGGCGTGATAGACAGGAGATCGCCAGCACAATGCACAAAGAACTCGATCGAATTGACGCCTGGTGTGATGGTTCCAATGCCTATGTCAATCCTTCGAAGGCATCAGTGTCATGGTTCTCTTTGAACAATCACATTGTCAAGTCGGACTTACCAGAAGTGAAAATGCGTGATAATGTATTGGTCAGAACCAACGTTATGACGTTTCTCGGGGTGAGGTTCGATCGCAGCTTGTCATTCAGGGAACACGTTGACCATGTGATAACAAAAGCACGCAAAGGTCCTTCTTGCTATGAGGATTATGGCTGCTTCCAATATCGAGCCAAGACTACTAATACTTCTATTCTATGGTCTGGTCCTTTCACCCATTGAATACGCTCTGGCCATCCTCACTGTCAGTGCTACCCAGATTGAACGACTCGAAAAGGTGCAAAATGAAGCCATGCCCATTATTTTGGGATGTACAAGAGACACATCCTATGGAGCAATGAGGTATCTACTTGACTTTCCAACAATGAACCAAAGGATCAGGATGTGGAGGGCTCGGGCATACCTCAAAATATGTGCTGATAAGAAACACCCACTGCATCAAGCGCTTTTTAGTGAAAAGGGCGACAGACTGAAGAGGGGAAAATCGTGGCTAGGTCGGGCAGAAGATGTTATTAGGCAAATATGCAGCCGAACCGACATCATACCTGTGCCTCAGGCGTTTATTTGTACATTTTCCTGTATTGTTACACTCAACAGGCGATGTAGAGAAGAGAATCCTATTGCTGCTAATGCAGAGGTCAACGCTCTCATCGGTGAAAATTCAGACGAAGCAGATGCACTAATCTATACAGACGGATCCGTTATACGCCAAAGAAGAAGCGCATGGGCATTTACAGCACGCTCAGCGGACAGAACAGTCAAAGAAGCCAACGGCGCCTTCTCCGTGACAACCAGCAGCATGACAATGGAGGTGATGGCAGTGACCCGAGCGTTTGCCTGGCTTGAAACACAAAAATACACCCGCATATGTATACTCAGTGATTCAATGAGTATGATCCGGAGGGTTCAGGCAGGTTCAGTACGACGACAATGGCTTGAATCAATTCAGAAGTCCACTGTGCGTGGAGTCACTTTTATTTTTGTTCCGGGACACGCAGGCGTCGATGGAAATGAAAGAGCTGACAAGTTGGCTGGATCCGCTATCACTACCGACGGTCGGCCTATGGATCATGCTGATATTATCAATGCCCTCAGAGAAATGGGAAGGATAGAGGACTTTGGTGGCAGTGAATCCACATCACTCGCCAGAATGGCAGACTTGGGAATTAAGATCGGCACAGCAAAAAACGAGACGCACACCGGACACGTCACAAGACTTGTTTATCAACATAGAACTGGTACTATTAGCCATCGGACGTTGGGGCTCATACTGAGGGGAGGATCTGAGCACCTATGGACATGTCCGGAGTGCAATGAGGATAACCCAACTAACTAACTAACTAACTAAATAGCTAACTAACTATCCCTCCCATTTCTCTGAGGGCATAAACCTAGTGTTGCCTAGTACCTCCAGGATTTAGCACTTCTTGTCACCAGCTCCTCCTCTACATCTGTGCATGAATGGTTGGCAGAGGTACACCTCCTGAAACATGTCTCATATACCACTGGCTCCTCCTCTACATCTGTGCATGGATGGTTGGCAGAGGTACATCTCCTGAAACATGTCTCATACATCACCAGCTCCTCCTCTACATCTGTGCATGAATGGTTGGCAGAGGTACACCCCCTGAAACATGTCTCATACATCACCAGCTCCTCCTCTACATCTGTGCATGGATGGTTGGCAGAGGTACACCTCCTGAAACATGTCTCATATAACACCAGCTCCTCCTCTACATCTGTACATGGATGGTTGGCAGAGGTACACCCCCTGAAACATGTCTCATACATCACCAGCTTCTTCTCTACATCTGTGCATGGATGGTTGACAGAGGTACACCCCCTGAAACATGTCTCATATAACACCAGCTCCTCTACATCTGTGCATGGATGGTTGACAGAGGTACACCCCCTGAAACATGTCTCATATAACACCAGCTCCTCCTCTACATCTGTGCATGGATGGTTTACAGAGGTACACCCCCTGAAACATGTCTCATACAACACCAGCTTCTCCTCTACATCTGTGCATGGATGGTTGACAGAGGTACACCTCCTGAAACATGTCTCATATAACACCAGCTCCTCCTCTACATCTGTGCATGGATGGTTGGCAGAGGTACACCTCCTGAAACATGTCTCATACATCACTGGCTCCTCCTCTACATCTGTGCATGAATGGTTGGCAGAGGTACACCCCCTGAAACATGTCTCATACATCACCAGCTTCTTCTCTACATCTGTGCATGGACTGCTGTCTGTGTTACATCTCCTGAAACTTTTCCAACCTCCAGCATTAGGACTTCGTGACATTAACTCCTCTTATACATCCCTGTTCAGGGCCAGATTTAGACTCAGTCAGGCCCTAACAGGACTGGTTTAATGCAAGGACCGGCTGGGCCTCATGCTAACCTGTGTATATCAAATCACTTGCCATTTTTGGGTCGACTTTCCGGCAACGATATTTTCCATCTCCCCCCGCGGTGGCTTTAAGTGTAATGATTCTGTAAACATTTATTTTTGCATGATGTTTTTCACGGCATAGTAGTAGGTCTGGTATAGCTATGAAGCCAATCATCAATGACAGTTCTTCTTTTGATGCTGTTGTTAAGGGCCCTGGATAGTTCAAAAAGATAAAAAAATAATAACAGTGAGAAGGGAAGAAGATGAACAGAGAACACCATTACAACACAAAACCATTAGCACAAGGGAGACAACTCTCACGCCAGTCTCCATTGTTGATGTTCCGTCCGTCCGTCCGTGTCTGCTGAGTGAAAGTCTCCATTTAGTCAAAGTCGGGCCAGTTGTTTGATCATGGCTGTCAGTGAAACCGAGGTGTTTGTCTGTAACAACTGTATGATCAATGCCGACATTTATGACTTATGGCTGAAAGGAAATTCAGGTATCTTGAACATGCCAATATTTATTTATATATTGGCTGTAGTCCTGTAGATGTCACGTAACTGTCGTAACAATGAGTGTGCTACAAAATCATTTACGTCCTTTATTATGTAATTTTTATTTCATTTGAAGCACTACTCTGGCTTTTGCCAGGGGCCGCAATATAGGCAGGCCATAAATATGGCCAATTGCCTGAACGCGGTTTCTGGGACCTCTCCACGGCGATCCTCATCCACATGGTGGCACTTTGTGTCATCGGGTGTTTATCGCTTGTGTGATGTCCTAGTGGGGTAAGAATCTACTACTACTAACAGTGACTGCTATCTGTTACCTAGGAAGGACATTTTTCTATCGTTGCGCTGTAAAAGTAAATCACCCCTTTCCACGACTTTAGGCATATTGGGAACATTCATTTAAGGGCTAGACCTATATATATTTTATAAACCAAGCGTAATGGCTATCTTTTGAATAACGGTCCCAAATGAACTACGCAGACAGCTACGCCTCACAACACAGACAGTAAACCCAAACAGAGCCTCACACATATGTAAAATTTGCATTTCTTTTGTGGCTATTGAACCTTGTCAAAAGTAGTATTAACTGGGCACGACATTTTCACGGAAACAACGTATTTTTTGACGGCGATTACACGGTGGCAAAACAAGGATTAACTGCGGACGAAAATAATTACGGACACGTGACAATACTCCCGATAGCGCTATTCTACGGCAGGGCCCGAGTTATATGTAAGTTGCCGACTACAGTGCCACCTGCGAGAGTATCCCCTGCGCTGCTACGCGCGGCGCGGAGGGGGCTAAACTAGATGGCCAGGACTCACGAGCTATAGCTACCGCAGTTCCTGCAGTTTCCTCCAAAGTATTTTTATTCGTGAGTCCCAGCCATCTAGTTTAGCCCCGTCTGGGCGGCGCGGGGGATACTTTCGGAGGTGGCACTATAGTCGCCGGGACAAAAGCCAACAATTTACAGGAGCTACGACTTTTGACGGAACTACCAGCGGCATCGTGGCGGCTGCTGGTTTGAAGTTGTCCGAGCCGACATGTGCGTACATTACACGGTGCATTACAGGCTGATCATGTCTCGCCCACAACGAGAATCGCAGACAAGCCGTGGTGCTGAGTTCCAATGGCGGCAGAGCGAGAGAGAACAGATATTCGCACACTTTTTGGAACTTCGGCGCCACAATTGTCATGTATAGAGGATGTCACTATCAGTAAGTAGTAGACTTTCCCCATTTTCCTGATACTTTTATTTCAAATGTTTGTAGGGCAGGATGTAATGAGGCTCTGTTTGGGTTAGCTGTCTGCGTAGTTCATTTGGGACCGTTATTCGAAAGATAGCCGATACGCTTAACCTGCACGTTAAAAAAAAAAAACTAATAAAATCATCTTTTTTTTTTCAGTTACTTGCAGTGATTTCTGGCACCTTTGTTTCTAGAAGTTACTTGCAGTGATTTCTGGCATCTTTGTTTCTAGAAGTTACTTGCAGTGATTTCTGGCACCTTTGTTTCTAGAAGTTACTTGCAGTGATTTCTGGCACCTTTGTTTCTAGAAGTTACTTGCAGTGATTTCTGGCACCTTTGTTTCTAGAAGTTACTTGCAGTGATTTCTGGCACCTTTGTTTCTAGAAGTTACTTGCAGTGATTTCTGGCACCTTTGTTTCTAGAAGTTACTTACAGTGATTTCTGGCACCTTTGTTTCTAGAAGTTACTTGCAGTGATTTCTGGCACCTTTGTTTCTAGAAGTTACTTGCAGGGATTTCTGGCACCTTTGTTTCTAGAAGTTACTTGCAGGGATTTCTGGCACCTTTGTTTCTAGAAGTTACTTGCAGTGATTTCTGGCACCTTTGTTTCTAGAAGTTCTCTCCCTAGGTATTATTCTGTGTAATAAAATAATCATCAGTTACTGGTGGTGTATCATGTAATGTTAGATGGAACATCCCAGGCTGCAGATACCTGCGTCTACGTAGCCCGTACCAAGACACACACCCGATGCCTTTTCAAAATCCAAAGCTGAAAGGCAGAATAGGACCAGAGGACAAGAAGAAAAATTATGTCATGAATATTTGTCCAGTAAATAAATAATAAAATAAACAGGCCAGGGCTGACAAAGAGACACCCAGAGACTGGCCATTAAAGGGATGACATTAACACTGTAGTGGGTGTCAGGATAGTTATAGCATGAGTGGTTGACTCACATACACCTATGTGATCCAGGGGTGGTTGACTCACATACACCTATGTGATCCAGGGGTGGTTGACTCACATACACCTATGTGATCCAGGGGTGGTTGACTCACATACACCTATGTGATCCAGGGGTGGTTGACTCACATACACCTATGTGATCCAGGGATGGTTGACTCACATACACCTATGTGATCCAGGGGTGGTTGACTCACATACACCTATGTGATCCAGGGGTGGTTGACTCACATACACATATGTGATCCAGGGGTGGCTCATACACCTACGTGATTTAGGGGTGGTTGACTCACATACACCTATGTGATCCAGGGGTGGTTGACTCACATACACCTATGTGATCCAGGGGTGGTTGACTCACATACACATATGTGATCCAGGGGTGGCTCATACACCTACGTGATTTAGGGGTGGTTGACTCACATACACCTATGTGATCCAGGGGTGGTTGACTCACATACACATATGTGATCCAGGGGTGGTTGACTCACATACACCTATGTGATCCAGGGGTGGTTGACTCACATACACCTGTGTGATCCAGGGGTGGTTGACTCACATACACCTATGTGATCCAGGGGTGGTTGACTCACATACACCTATGTGATCCAGGGGTGGTTGACTCACATACACATATGTGATCCAGGGGTGGTTGACTCACATACACCTATGTGATCCAGGGGTGGTTGACTCACATACACCTATGTGATCCAGGGGTGGTTGACTCACATACACCTATGTGATCCAGGGGTGGTTGACTCACATACACCTATGTGATCCAGGGGTGGTTGACTCACATACACCTATGTGATCCAGGGGTGGTTGACTCACATACGCCTATGTGATCCAGAGGTGGTTGACTCACATACACATATGTGATCCAGGGGTGGTTGACTCACATACACCTATGTGATCCAGGGGTGGTTGACTCACATACACCTATGTGATCCAGGGGTGGTTGACTCACATACACCTGTGTGATCCAGGAGTGGTTGACTCACATACACCTGTGTGATCCAGGGGTGGTTGACTCACATACACCTATGTGATCCAGGAATGGTTGACTCACATACACATATGTGATCCAGGGGTCACTCATACACTTACGTGATTTAGGGGTGGTTGACTCACATACACCTATGTAATCCAGGGGTGGTTGACTCACATACACCTGTGTGATCCAGGGTTGGTTGACTCACATACACCTATGTGATCCAGGGGTGGTTGACTCACATACACCTATGTGATCCAGGAGTGGTTGACTCACATACACCTATGTGATCCAGGGGTGGTTGACTCACATACACCTGTGTGATCCAGGGGTGGTTGACTCACATACACCTACGTGATCCAGGGATGGTTGACTCACATACACCGATGTGATCCAGGGGTGGTTGACTCACATACACCTATGTGATCCATGGGTGGTTGACTCACATACACATATGTGATCCAGGGGTGGTTGACTCACATACACCGATGTGATCCAGGGGTGGTTGACTCACATACACCTATGTGATCCATGGGTGGTTGACTCACATACACATATGTGATCCAGGGGTGGTTGACTCACATAAATCTACGTGATTTAGGGGTGGTTGACTCACATACACCTATGTGATCCAGGAGTGGTTGACTCACATACACCTATGTAATCCATGGGTGGTTGACTTACATACACCTACGTGATCCAGGAGTGGTTGACTCACATACACATATGTGATTCAGGAGTGACCTTGCTGTCCAAGTCATAACAGTGTTTGTGAAAATGAAAGTGCTGATTGGCTGGCCTTCTGGGACACTGAAGTTTAACAAGGGAGATTGATGCTGTCTATAGGTGATCACCTTATGAACTAGGAAAGAGATCTGTAACTACGTGGGACTACAACATATTTCTTAAAGACTTACCAAGGATAGGCTTCCTTTAGTACTTGGTCTCACATGCCAGTTATCTTGGTGTAGAGTGATGTCAGCTTTAATGTGCTAGAGTAAACCATTGAATAATTTGGTGAAACATTTAGAGATTTTCTTTTTCTTCTTCTCTAATCCTGTCCTGTTTATATTGTTAGGTTTTGAACAGGCATCAAGTGAGAGCCTTGGTGTGCCATGTTGTTGCTTGTATTTACAGCCTCGGCTGGTCCGTCTTTGTGTGGTCGACCTCTGGCTCTCATTTAGATGTCACTGGATAAAAATGAAGATGTAGTTGCTTGCATTAACAAAAACGGAATGATTGATTTATTTTAGTGTCAGAGGCAACCAAGCATCAGCAGAATAAGGTGTCCCTGAAGAAGTTTGGTGCCACACTCGATGACCTGCAGAGTGATATAGTGGACCACTACCGCCTGTTTGCTGGGCTTGAGGAAATGCTGAAGACACCTCCACGACTCAATCACCAGCTGATGTATCAGTTTGATCCTGAGACTGTGCACATGCTGATTCAGAAGTAAGGCTGCTGTGCTGGTTTCTTATTTATCTCATTATGTAGCAACAAACATGGGAACTTGCTTACCCTCACAAGCATGTGGTAAAACTCAACTAATTAGAAGTTTTTCCTTCATAGTCACATGCATCTGCCTGAGAGGTAAGTAACAAACAGTCTGCCTGCATATAAGCCAGAATCTGGAAAAGGAATGTACATGCAAAACTCAAGCTCTTGAAGAAGACTGAAGCCCAGAAATGGATGAATAACCATAACTTTGCCAGAGTTTACAGCTGGTAAATGTAAAGAAGAAGAAGATTTCACTGCCTTATCAGTTTTTTTATGACACTATTATAGACAGATGTATTATTACACTATTGTAGACAGATGTATTATTACACTATTATAGACAGATGTATTATTGCACTATTATAGACAGATGTATTATTACACTATTATAGACAGATGTATTATTACACTATTAATTATAGATAGATACTATTATAGACAGATGTATTATTACACTATTAATTATAGATAGATACTATTGTAGACAGATGTATTATTACACAATTTATGTAAACTGTTGACAAACTATTTTTACTCATTTACATGTCACAGATCAAGACCTTAATCACAATATTTTTGTTAAGCAGGCAGGGATAAATGCATAACACATGTTCCTTGCTTCTTAGGAAGAAGTACAGGAACAAGTCTGCCAAAGGCTTGGTTTGATTTGTTTTAGAACTATGTTCCACTGGGAGGAGGGGGGGGGGGGAATGAATGCAAGAAGAAAAAGGAAGAATTATACCCAGCCGCTGATGCTCTGATGGTTTTCACTTGCAGGTATTATTGCTTTGATGCTTCTGTGATGCGTGAGATCTTTGGTCGCAAGCTGGGCACACGCAGCCGCAAAGATCTGGATGATATCAGTGAAGAAACTGGTGTTGCTGTACGTAGCGTCAGGCGACAGGTTTGTCAGCATCACTTCGTCAGTTGTTTGTCAGCATCACTTTATTAGTTGTTACTTCTGTTTTTAAAATTTAAACTTTAAAAGGTTAGATCATGAATGACACAAGCAGAGATTATGATTGAAAAGTGTGTTACTATTGAACAGGTGTGCAGACATGATACACAGGGGCAATGACTGCAACCACCACTTGGGTCAGGTCGTGGGAACACTTTAATGATGAACAGGTGTGCAGACATGATATACAGGGGCAATGACTGCAACCACCACTTGGGACAGGTAGTGGTAACACTTTAATGATGAACAGGTGTGCAGACATGATACACAGGGGCAATGACTGCAACCACCACTTGGGTCAGGTCGTGGGAACACTTTAATAAGAGGCTAGAGAGTGAGATACTGGAAAGGCAAACATGAAATATGATAGATTCTCATACTAGGGATAATGATGTTCTAGAATACACTGATGATAGATTCTCATACTAGGGATAATGATGTTCTAGAATACACTGATGATAGATTCTCATACTAGGGATAATGATGCTCTAGTATACACTGATGATAGATTCTCATACTAAGGATAATGATGTTCTAGAATACACTGATGATAGATTCTCATACTAGGGATAATGATGTTCTAGAATACACTGATGATAGATTCTCATACTCGATATAATGATGCTCTAGTATACACTGATGATAGATTCTCATACTCGATATAATGATGCTCTAGTATACACTGATGATAGATACTCATACTAGGGATAATGATGTTCTAGAATACACTGATGATAGATTCTCATACTAGGGATAATGATGTTCTAGAATACACTGATGATAGATTCTCATACTAGGGATAATGATGTTCTAGAATACACTGATGATAGATTCTCATACTAGGGATAATGATGTTCTAGAATACACTGATGATAGATTCTCATACTCGATATAATGATGCTCTAGTATACACTGATGATAGATTCTCATACTAGGGATAATGATGTTCTAGAATACACTGATGATAGATTCTCATACTAGGGATAATGATGTTCTAGAATACACTGATGATAGATTCTCATACTAGGGATAATGATGCTCTAGTATACACTGATGATAGATTCTCATACTAGGGATAATGATGTTCTAGAATACACTGATGACAGATTCTCATACTAGGAATAATGATGCTCTAGTATACACTGATGATAGATACTCATACTAGGGATAATGATGTTCTAGAATACACTGATGATAGATTCTCATACTAGGGATAATGATGCTCTAGTATACACTGATGATAGATACTCATACTCGATATAATGATGTTCTAGTGTACACTGATTAATAAATTCTTACACTAGGGATGATGATGCTCTAGTATACAGTGATGATAGATTCTTGCACTGGGGATAATGATGCTCTAGTGTACACTGATGATAGATTCTTGCACTGGGCATGATGATGCTCTAGTATACACTGATGATAGATTCTCATACTCGGGATAATGATGCTCTAGTGTACACTGATGATAGATTCTCATACTCGGGATAATGGTGCTCTAGTGTACACTGATGATAGATTCTCATACTCGGGATAATGATGCTCTAGTGTACACTGATGATAGATTCTCATACTCGGGATAATGATGCTCTAGTGTACACTGATGATAGATTCTCATACTCGGGATAATGATGCTCTAGTATACACTGATGATAGATTCTCATACTCGGGATAATGATGCTCTAGTGTACACTGATGATAGATTCTCTTACTCGGGATAATGATGTTCTAGTGTACACTGATGATAGATTCTCATACTCGGGATAATGATGTTCTAGTGTACACTGATGATAGATTCTCATACTCGGGATAATGATGTTCTAGTGTACACTGATGATAGATTCTTGCACTGGGGATAATGATGCTCTAGTGTACACTGATGATAGATTCTTGCTCTAGTGTACACTGATGATAGATTCTCATACTCGGGATAATGATGCTCTAGTGTACACTGATGATAGATTCTTGCTCTAGTATACAATGATGATAGATTCTCATACTCGGGATAATGATGCTCTAGTATACACTGATGATAGATTCTCATACTCGGGATAATGATGCTCTAGTGTACACTGACGATAGATTCTCTTACTCGGGATAATGATGCTCTAGTATACACTGATGATAGATTCTCATACTCGGGATAATGATGCTCTAGTGTACACTGATGATAGATTCTTGCTCTAGTATACACTGATGATAGATTCTCATACTCGGGATAATGATGCTCTAGTATACACTGATGATAGATTCTCATACTCGGGATAATGATGCTCTAGTGTACACTGATGATAGATTCTCTTACTCGGGATAATGATGCTCTAGTGTACACTGATGATAGATTCTCATACTAGGGATAATGATGCTCTAGTGTACACTGATGATAGATTCTTGCACTGGGGATGATATTGTTCTAGTGTACACTGATGATTCCCATACTGAGGATGATGATGTAGTAGTGTACATACACTGGCGGTTCTGTGCTCTCTGGCCACAGTCATTATAGGTTCTTGGGTACGTGTCAGAGACAGTTATCACTAGCAGGATGGAGCAAATCACTGAAAAGGTACTTCATGATAATGGGGTAAAGCCACTCTGAGATAAGTGGATAGTGTAGCATACACAGTGGGACTAATGCATCAAGAAATTAGAAGATCTGCATGAAACTTAACTCTTTGAGTCCCAGGGGGTTTTGCACCAGAGGCCCAAGGGGGGTAATATGATTTTGACTTTTAACAAATGCAGCACTTTAAAACAAACCTCACAACTGCAGCTGATGTCCAATATGCACGTATCATACATACAATTAAACATAAATGGATAAGGATTAATATTAGCATACTGCTACAACAAACAATTATACTGTTAGTTAGTTTTTAGTAGAGAAAACAGTGACTTAGTTTGAGAGGTGAGTAAATTATGAACAAGTTTTTTCCACTTACCCAGAAGCTGATCCCAAAATTCTTGATATAGTATATCCAAAATGCATCACAAAGGAAGGTACACCACTTATAAGTATGCACAGCCATTATTAAAGCAAAATGTGCAATAGTTTTTGTTCCATACTAATTTTAATAACACTACAATAACATGTCAAAATATATTCTCCAGTGGCACAAACAGTGACTTTTCTAAAAATAATTGAATTCCTCACATAGAAAAAAACTGTAAAGGCACTGTAAACATGTCAATCTGTTCATAGATATATATCTATGGTTTTAGATGATATGGATAGTAGTACTAGAAGCGCTGACATTTGGACTAGCTGGTGTCGCGTTACGAGGTGCTTCTCTTGTATTGCCAAGGCAGAATTACAGTTTTGTCCTCTTAGCAGGAGGTAAATTACGCACACATCCTCATCAAAACTTGACTCGTCAACGGTTTGGGGAAATTTCATGTCGCTACTATCATTATCCAACTCCACATTACTTTAATTGATCCACTGTTTTATCAAATTTGATGATTCTAAAGCAGTAAATCGCTTTGATGGGCTTGAAGGCGATGACTGATCGGACATATTGTTTTCAGACAATTGTTTGGTAACGTAGTAGACCACACAAATATCGATTTAAAGCGTTAAAAACTCACTAGACCCAAACGAATGCACTCCACGTGTGTACACTACACACTTGAGAACCGGAAAGGAAGTTTAAATTGAGCGGTCCACTTGTAATTACCGATAAGTGGTAAATTAAAAACCGTCACACGTCATGCGCTGTTTGGGCCGCCAAGTAGTAAAAAATGAGCGCGTGATGCGTTCCTTGGGACTCAAAGAGTTAATACAAGACAGTAAAGATTGACAATATTTAACAGTACAGATAGATAATACTTAACAGTAAAGATAGACAATATTTAACAGTAAAGATAGACGATGCTTAACAGTAAAGATAGACAATATTTAACAGTAAAGATAGACAATGCTTAACAGTAAACATAGACAATATTTAACAGTAAAGATAGACGATGCGTAACAGTACAGAAAGACAATACTTAACAGTAAAGATAGACAATATTTAACAGTAAAGTTAGATGGTGCTAAACAGTAAAAATAGACAATATTTAATAGTAAAGATAGACAATACTTAACAGTACAGATAGACAGTACTTAACAGTAAAGATAGACAATATTTAACAGTAAAGATAGACAATACTTAATAGTAAAGTTAGACAATGGATGACAGTCAAGATAGACAGACTTTGATTCAGGAGGTCACTGCTACCATCACCATGGAAACTGCATTTGAATGCCCTGAGTGCAACGATGTCAGTTCTTCGTTCATCCATTCATTTATTTAACAGTTTTTTTTCCCTTTAATCTCTGTCCTGTTATCATTATCTTTGTTTCCCATGTGGGTTCCGGGGCCCTATTATAGGGACAACAACAAGAATAGATCCACTGCTTACACAAAAGCATGTTGTAAGAGTCGACTAATTGGCAGCTTCCTTCAAAGTCAGAGTGCATCTGCCTGAGAGGCAAGGAACCAGCAGTCTGCATACAAATTAGCCAGATCTGTAAAACGGATGCACATGCCACGCTCAGGTTCTGGAATAGGACTGCAGTCCAGAAGTGGCTGAAAAACCAGAACTTTCCACCAGAGTTTACAGCTGGTGAATGCAAAGAAGAAGAAGATTATCTTTGTTTTTGCTGTTTTATCATGACATCTCTGTTATAATTGAATGAATAACAATTATTCTTATTAGTATTATATGTTTACAATCATCATTATTTTTTCCATTAAATATTCTGTTTTTCATTATATTTGTTCAGCAGTATTTCACAACTGTGCTGTTCTGTTTTCATGAAATTTGTTTCTAAATTATATTTCTTCAGCAGTGTTTACATCTCTGCTCTGTTTTGAGCACGTGTTGCTGTTTCTGCTGTGTTATTTTCCATTACCATTCTAGATGTCATCAGTTTGTCTCTTTATATTTGAATGTTATAACTTTCTGACAGTGTGTCTGTGTATATTTGAATGTTATAACTTTCTGACAGTGTGACTGTGTATATTTGAATGTTATAACTTTCTGACAGTTTGTTTCTGTATATTTGAATGTTATAACTTTCTGACAGTTTGTTTCTGTATATGTAAATGTTATAACTTTCTGACAGTTTGTTTCTGTATATGTAAATGTTATAACTTTCTGACAGTTTGTTTCTGTATGTGTAAATGTTATAACTTTCTGACAGTTTGTTTCTGTATATGTAAATGTTATAACTTTCTGCCAGTTTGTTTCTGTATATGTAAATTTTATAAATTTCTGACAGTTTGTTTCTGTATATGTAAATGTTATAACTTTCTGACAGTTTGTTTCTGTATATGTAAATGTTATAACTTTCTGCCAGTTTGTTTCTGTATATGTAAATGTTATAACTTTCTGCCAGTTTGTTTCTGTATATGTAAATATTATAACTTTCTGACAGTTTGTTTCTGTATATGTAAATGTTATAACTTTCTGACAATTTGTTTCTGTATATGTAAATGTTATAACTTTCTGACAGTTTGTTTCTGTATATGTAAATGTTATAACTTTTTGACAGCTTGTTTCTGTATATGTAAATGTTATAACTTTCTGACAGTGTGTCTGTGTATATTTGAATGTTATAACTTTCTGACAGTTTGTTTCTGTATATGTAAATGTTATAACTTTCTGACAGTGTGTCTGTGTATATTTGAATGTTATAACTTTCTGACAGTGTGTCTGTGTATATTTGAATGTTATAACTTTCTGACAGTGTGTCTGTGTATATTTGAATGTTATAACTTTCTGACAGTTTGTTTCTGTATATGTAAATGTTATAACTTTCTGACAGTTTGTTTCTGTATATGTAAATGTTATAACTTTCTGACAGTTTGTTTCTGTATATGTAAATGTTATAACTTTTTGACAGTTTGTTTCTGTATTTTTGAATGTTATAACTTTCTGACAGTTTGTTTCTGTATATGTAAATGTTATAACTTTTTGACAGTTTGTTTCTGTATTTTTGAATGTTATAACTTTCTGACAGTGTGTCTGTGTATATTTGAATGTTATAACTTTCTGACAGTGTGTCTGTGTATATTTGAATGGTATAACTTTCTGACAGTGTGTCTGTGTATATTTGAATGTTATAACTTTCTGACAGTGTGTCTGTGTATATTTGAATGTTATAACTTTCTGACAGTGTGTCTGTGTATATTTGAATGTTATAACTTTCTGACAGTGTGTCTGTGTATATTTGAATGTTATAACTTTCTGACAGTGTGTCTGTGTATATTTGAATGTTATAACTTTCTGCCAGTTTGTTTCTGTATATGTAAATGTTATAACTTTCTGACAGTTTGTTTCTGTATGTGTAAATGTTATAACTTTCTGACAGTTTGTTTCTGTATATGTAAATGTTATAACTTTCTGACAGTTTGTTTTTGTATATGTAAATGTTATAACTTTCTGACAGTTTGTTTCTGTATTTTTGAATGTTATAACTTTCTGACAGTTTGTTTCTGTATATGTAAATGTTATAACTTTTTGACAGTTTGAAAATGCCAAGAGAGTCTTTAAGACAGTGGAGGAATTGAGTGGACGTTTGGTGGACAATATTCAGAGCCATTACTGTCTTCACGAAGACCTGGCAAAGTATGTTTGTGTTGTTGTTTTCTTTATTATGTTGCCATCATTATCATCATCATCACATGTCCTGTCAAATATAGACCTTGATATCTCTCCAGGCCATGGTTTCACAATTCAGAACTGGTGCCATCAGAATTGGAACTCTTCGTTGGCTGCTGAAGATGGGGATGTAGCGCTTATGGCAGTGTCCTAAGTGCTGTGATGTCGATTCATTTAAGTGCACCAGTTGTAACTTCTGTGGAGGTTAAACAGGGTATCTGAGAGTTGCCCTGTGGATGATGATTTTATGATCACTGGATGGTGAAACCTTCATGTAGCAGCCCAGAGAGGGAAAGCAGAAAGAATACAGATGTGACCAGGATTGCTGTCAAACACGTGGTTCGAGAGAGCATTTGTGCGTTTGCCACAATGTTTAGTCATTCTTGAGGTCAAGAATTTATATTGTTTCAGAATCTGATTGAACCTAGAGTGTACGTGACAGTTGATGAGTCATAACTGAACAAACAGGCAGTGTCGTTATTTCCTTGTTGCTTTGTGAACCTTATTTGTAACTCTGAATATTGAACAGCTGCGTTTAAATCTCATTTTTTTTTTCCAGGTCTTATGCAGCAGTGGTGTTTATCTCAAATAACAGATTTGAAACAGGAAAAAAGAAACTCAACTATTTATCATTTGAGGATTTTGCTGCTTGTGCTAACTACATGATATCACACTGGTCCTACAGCTCCGAAGGTAACTTCTTGATTTCCATTCTCTTTTATTTTGATTTCCAAACTTACGTAAATGGATGTCAGATCAGTTCTTTATATGACAACTGTTGTTTTTTTTGCCTTTATGACATACTTGTTAGGGAGGCATAGAGTCTGTTTTTTTTTTCTCCCCACATGGGGCCTTAGAACCAGCATGGTGAAATATATTACTGACTGATTACACAACCTCTGACCACCATCACTGACCGATGAAAACCTCTGACCACCATCACTGACCCATGAGTATTTACTGTTCAGTCATCCTCCTCATTGATTTCCTCCATTGGCTGCCTTGTTTCGAACTCTGTTTCTCTATTGGCTGCCTTATTTCCAACTGTTTCTCTATTGGCTGCCTTATGTCCAGCTCTGTTCCTCCATTGGCTGCCTTTTTTCCAACTCTGTTCCTTCATTGGCTCCCTTATTTCCAACTCTGTTCATTGCTATGCTGCCCTCAGTCTTTCCCAGGGTTCTATAGACCGGCTGATGATTCTCTTTGTCTTCATATGTGTGAATCAATCCTTTCTTCGTTAGCCTATCTTCTAACTATATCACTTGTAGGATTACCTTCTGTTCCATCAGCAGCCATGAGATCCAACACTGGAGTCTTGTTCCCTTGCTCTCTGTGGTGTCCCTATAAATGGGATGCGAAGGAGATATCTGATATCTCTCATGGTGACCTAAATAAGCTTAGCCAAGGTCATTGCCCTTATCTGGAGAGCTGAACAGTGTGATGATGATGATGCTTATTCTGTAAGTGCTCATCATGACCTCTTTCTGTGTGTATCTGTGCACCCTAGAATGTCAGCACCATGAAGATATGGATGTGGATATGGACCGAGACTTTCTCCTTGATCTTCGAGAGGTCAAAGTTCTTATGGAAAGAGAGTATGCAGAAGAACACAGGGGGTAAGTCCTAAACGTTATGTAACAAAAACACTGTACATCTATACTTTGACTGTTGTTGATGAGCATGTTTGGGTGCCAGTAGTTTGTGTGTCATATCATCACGAGAGTCACGTACACATGTACACCCTATCCTAGTCATGTATGTAACTGTCAGCATTTACATCGTCTAAAGTCTACAGTCTGTTTTGGAAGACAGTTGTACCATTGACCAATACCAGTCAAGGTAATGAATTTTCTCACCTTGTGGTGACGCTGATGTCCAGTAGCAGTAAAAGTCATGATCTTGAGGTAGCAGTAAAAGTCATGATCTTAAGGTAGCAGTAAAAGTCATGATCTTAAGGTAGCAGTAAAAGTCATGATCTTAAGGTAGCAGTAAAAGTCATGATCTTAGGGAAGAGTTGTCTAACGGTGTACAACATTTGCTGAAAACTAACTAGATAAAAGTTCTCTAACAATGTACAACATTTGCTGAAAACTAACTAGATAAAAGTTCTCTAACCATGTACAACATTTGCTGAAAACTAACTAGGTAAAAGTTCTCTAACCATGTACAACATTTGCTAAATACTACCTAGAGAGGAGTTGTCTAACAGTGTACAACATTTGCTGAAAACTAATTAGATAAAAGTTCTCTAACCATGTACAACATTTGCTAAATACTACCTAGAGAGGAGTTGTCTAACGGTGTACAACATTTGCTGAAAACTAACTAGATAAAACTTCTCTAACCATGTACAACATTTGCTGAAAACTAACTAGATAAAAGTTCTCTAACCATGTACAACATTTGCTAAATACTACCTAGAGAGGAGTTGTCTAACGGTGTACAACATTTGCTGAAAACTAACTAGATAAAAGTTCTCTAACCATGTACAAAATTTGCTGAAAACTAACTAGATAAAAGTTCTCTAACCATGTACAACATTTGCTAAATACTACCTAGAGAGGAGTTGTCTAACGGTGTACATTTGCTAAACACTTAACTAGAGAAGAGTTGTGTAACCGTGTACAGCATTTGCAAAATTCTAACTAGTGATGACCTGCTTATCTGTTAAGGTTGATGCTTCGGGCTCTGCAGCCAGTAATGAGGGAAAGAGTCCTTGTGGAAATGGACAACAATTTTCGAGTAAGTTGAGCACTCATTGTCACAGACTCCTAGACTAGAAGTGTCTTGTCCCAATGGCTGCATCATTAGAAAATTCTTTCAGTGCTACTACTAGCAGTGAAAAGAGAATAGCAGACGCAGATCAAAGCTGCAGCAATACCAGTATTTTTAGCATATTGAAAGGTATGTCACCCATCACTAATTTTACAGAACTCAAGCCATTCCTACAGGTATTCTGTCTCACTAGATGTTGAAGAACCTGGAATTCCATAGTTCCGTTGGCAGTTTAGTTATGCACTCCTCTGCTTCTTGTATTTCTGTGCTGCTTCCTAAAACAGTCAAGTAAAGAATCCTTGTCCACACCTCCAGCAGCTGTATCAGGCATGTGATGCTAGACCTTCATTCTACAAGCCAGTTGATACTCTGGGGCTGATGTGGTCAACATCATGCCGGCCACCTTTACTTCCCAGGACTTCACTTGCTACCCACCCAAACCTGGGTCAAATGCTGCTTGTATACATTTGTAAACTTTTTTTGTGTCCTGTGTAAAGTGGGTATTTATTTAAAGATTTTTTTCTAGGAATTTCCAAGAATTGCACTGTTTTTCAAAGGATTTATGGGGTGGAAAAATGGAGGGCGGGGGGTGTGGAAAGGTTAATGAGTAAATCATGAGACCACCTTCGAAGCTGAGAGATTTACTGGCTATTTCAAGCTAGTCCTTTGTTTGTAAACTAACGGGCTCCTAATGAAAGATATAGACAGTATTAAACCAGATGCCTTTACTTGCCACAAATGTCCTGGACTTATTTTAGCCTATGTCGACCTGGAAGTCTGTGTTAGTCAACAAGCGGCCACTGAGAATTCAAAGCAATTTGCTGCCACAGCTCTGTTAGAAATTTATAAACTGTGTTTCAATTTGCAGCAGTAGGATGACCTGAAAGTTGCCTTGAGCTGCATTAAGTTACAAAATTTGTTCATATAGTTCTATAGTTTATAAAATGTCAGTGTGACAAGTTGATTTAAAAAAAAAATGACAAGTCAACTTTTGCTCTACAAAACTACACATTATTTGTTTCTAGTTCTTGAGCCTAGAGAATGCCACAATATTTGTTTCTAGTTGTTGAGCCTAGAGAATGCCACAATGATACATTTTTAAAATAAATTGTATTCCCCTTGAGCAGTCGATCTCTAAAACAATTATCACAATTGCAAATGGGCTCAACCACAGCAAGGAATCCAGGGACATCTTCATTGACATCTATGAAAAGGTAGGATAGCACTGTTTCAGACTTGTGTTGTTGTGGTTGTTGTTTGTGTTTTAAATATACTATCTTTATTGTTAAATCTACACCAGTGTCTGCCAATGAAGTGGCCAGTAACATGTGTTTATGATAGTTTGTTGTTGGTAACATTTTTTAAATGAGATGTTTCATTAGAGTTTGTGATGCTGTTAATAATTTAGAGTTTTAGTAAATCAGTGCAGCGGAGACCAATCAAGGAAGTTCCATCTCCACATTTAAGGTCAGCAGTATTGAGTCTAAACAGAAAAGAGATTAGTCTAAATTAGTCTAAACAGAAAAGAGATTAGTCTAAATTAGTCTAGATTATTATAAACAGAAAATAGATTAGTCTAAATTAGTCTAGATTAGTATAAACAGAAAATAGATTAGTCTAGATTAGTCTAAACAGAAAATAGATTAGTCTAGATTAGTCTAAACAGAAAAGAGAAAAACAAATAAAATGGTAATTACAAAAAAAAAAAAAAAAAAAAAAAAAAAAAAAAAAAAAAAATGTCCCCCAAAATACAAAATCAGTATCGCTGAAACAGTTCTTGATCATGTGGATACATTCAAGTACTGCAGTGCCCTTGTACAGGTGGAAGATGTATTAAAATAGTTCACTGTAGGAGAGCTCATGCAAAAGCATTGTTTCACAAGATGAAGAATATTCTAGACAGTCTCTCTATGTCAGTGGAGGTGTTTACAGCGGACAATAATGTCCAGCGAATGCTGGTACACGTGAGAAACTGTTTTATATTGTTAAACCGTACTTTAACTTTGGCCATTTTGTTGTTGTTGTAAATTTGTTATTTTTAATTTTATTGATTTGTGCCACTGATCTGCCATCCTTTATTAATTAATTAATGGGTAAGAGATGCAGATGGTCGGTCTGTGGATTGGACTAACATTATTAATGGCATTAGAGAGAGAGATGACGATCAGAGAATTTAGGGAGCAGTGCATCCACATCACTGCCAAGAGAGAGAGAGAGAGAGGACGATCAGAGAATTTAGGGAGCAGTGCATCCACATCACTGCCAAGAGAGAGAGAGAGAGAGAGAGGATGATCAGAGAATTTAGGGAGCAGTGCATCCACATCACTGCCCAGAGAGAGAGAGAGAGAGAGAGAGAGAGAGAGAGAGGACAATCAGAGAATTTAGGGAGCAGTGCATCCACATCACTGCCCAGAGAGAGAGAGAGGACGATCAGAGAATTTAGGGAGCAGTGCATCCACATCACTGCCAAGAGAGAGAGAGAGAGAGAGAGGACGATCAGAGAATTTAGGGAGCAGTGCATCCACATCACTGCCGAGAGAGAGAGAGAGAGAGAGAGAGGACGATCAGAGAATTTAGGAAGCAGTGCATCCACATCGCTGCTAAGAATATGAGGAATGTAAAGATCAGCACAGACAGGCATGAAAGGCACACAGGACATACAAGAAGTCTTGTCAACTGTTAACCACAGGAAGCTGTTGTATGGGTTGGAAGTTGAATCTGAGCACCTCAGAACGTGTCTGAGTGGCGATGAAGATATCCCAACTCATAACTCGTTCGTCCACCTGTTATTTAAAATGAGAAACTAATGACCTCTGCCTGTGATACATAATTGTGAGCTGCCATGGTGTAGTGGCTAGACATTCACCTGCACATCCGAAGGTTGTGAGTTCAGATCCGGACAGTGCTGGACATTTTTGAAGACATGAACTTGGCTTCCTGGTCGACCCAGCCTTAAATGGGTACCACGTACAAGTCCTGGAAGATAAAGGCGGCCCGCATGTTGCTGACATCATCACCCACACAAGTCCTTGAAGATAAAGGCGGCCCGCATGTTGCTGACATCATCACCCACACAAGTCCTGGAAGATAAAGGTGGCCGGCATGATGCTGACATCATCACCCACACAAGTCCTGGAAGACAAAGGTGGCCGGCATGATGCTGACATCATCACCCACACAAGTCCTGGAAGATAAAGGTGGCCGGCATGATGCTGACATCATCACCCACACAAGTCCTGGAAGATAAAGGTGGCCGGCATGATGCTGACATCATCACCCACACAAGTCCTGGAAGATAAAGGTGGCCGGCATGATGCTGACATCATCACCCACACAAGTCCTGGAAGATAAAGGTGGCCGGCATGATGCTAACATCATCACCCACACAAGTCCTGGAAGATAAAGGTGGCCGGCATGATGCTGACATCATCACCCACACAAGTCCTGGAAGATAAAGGTGGCCGGCATGATGCTGACATCATCACCCACACAAGTCCTGGAAGATAAAGGTGGCGGGCATGATGCTGACATCATCACCCATACAAGTCCTGGAAGATAAAGGTGGCCGGCATGATGCTGACATCATCACCCACACAAGTCCTGGAAGACAACGGTGGCCGGCATGATGCTGACATCATCACCCACACAAGTCCTGGAAGATAAAGGTGGTCGGCATGTTGCTGACATCATCACCCACACAAGTCCTGGAAGATAAAGGTGGCGGGCATGATGCTGACATCATCACCCACACAAGTCCTGGAAGACAAAGGTGGCCGGCATGATGCTAACATCATCACCCACACAAGTCCTGGAAGATAAAGGTGGCCGGCATGATGCTAACATCATCACCCACACAAGTCCTGGAAGATAAAGGTGGCCGGCATGATGCTAACATCATCACCCACACAAGTCCTGGAAGACAAAGGTGGCCGGCATGATGCTAACATCATCACCCACACAAGTCCTGGAAGATAAAGGTGGCCGGCATGATGCTAACATCATCACCCACACAAGTCCTGGAAGATAAAGGTGGCCGGCATGATGCTAACATCATCACCCACACAAGTCCTGGAAGATAAAGGTGGCGGGCATGATGCTGACATCATCACCCACACAAGTCCTGGAAGACAAAGGTGGCCGGCATGATGCTGACATCATCACCCACACAAGTCCTGGAAGATAAAGGTGGCCGGCATGATGCTGACATCATCACCCACACAAGTCCTTGAAGACAAAGGCTGCCGGCATGATGCTGACATCATCACCCACACAAGTCCTGGAAGATAAAGGTGGCCGGCATGATGCTGACATCATCACCCACACAAGTCCTGGAAGATAAAGGTGGCCGGCATGATGCTGACATCATCACCCATACAAGTCCTGGAAGATAAAGGTGGCCGGCATGATGCTGACATCATCACCCACACAAGTCCTGGAAGACAAAGGTGGCTGGCATGATGCTGACATCATCACCCACACAAGTCCTGGAAGATAAAGGTGGCCGGCATGATGCTGACATCATCACCCACACAAGTCCTGGAAGATAAAGGTGGCGGGCATGATGCTGACATCATCACCCACACAAGTCCTGGAAGACAAAGGTGGCCGGCATGATGCTGACATCATCACCCACACAAGTCCTGGAAGATAAAGGTGGCCGGCATGATGCTGACATCATCACCCATAGGCCGAATGGTCTATAAAATATAGGTCCAGGCTTACATGCCCGGTATGCCTAGAGGCGGGAAAGAAGAATCCTGTAGTTTTACTGATACAACGTTAAATTGACTGCTGGGCTCCCTACTTAGCTGTCCTAGACATGAAGTAATCACAACTAGTTATGCCTGATTGCCTCTCTCACCCGTAACTTCACATTGATGAGTTGTCTAGATAAGACCCAACACAAACAATGATAAGATGAAGACAACTGAGTGCTGGCATTTAGTTACGTAAGAAACTTGAATACTGACGTCAATTATTTCATAAACATGTCTGCTTTGATTGGAGGTATCCTGTCAGAACCAGGTTAGAGGCAGCTGCTACTGGGGTAACTACCATACAGCTGTCAAGTCACATCCTGATACATGATGAGACAACGGACAGTGAGCCTACCGTAGGACAAAACACTGAGGACATAAGGAAGGCGAACAAGAAATAACATTTATTATAAAAGCTGTGCACAGACTGGACATTCAGACTTAGATGGCATTACGGAGAATAGCACAGGACAGATAGACATGGAATGATTGGGCAACTCATGGTCTGCCTACGGTTTCAGTCTCTTGATGATGATAAGTCTGAATTTCTCTGAGGGAGAAGGACAATTTAAAAAAATGTATGAATAGAAATAAAGATAAAGGAAGAAAAAGATTAAAAGATAGTGAGAAAAACTATAATGTTGTTTCAATCCATAGCTGATAGAGCCTTGGCTGCTGATGTCATGGACAAAAGCTGACGCTAAAGTTTTCTTGACTGCATTCAAGGACACGGCCCTACAACTGGATGTCTTCAGGTATCTCTGATTTATTTAGTTATCTGTGTGTATTGTCAGGTGTCTGTGTGTATTGTCAGGTGTCTGTGTGTATTGTCAGGTGTCTCTGATTTATTTAGTTATTGGTGTGTATTGTCTGGCAGTTGCTTTGTATTGTCAGGTGTCTGTGTGTATTGTCTGGCAGTTGCTTTGTATTGTCAGGTGTCTGTGTGTATTGTCAGGTGTCTGTGTGTATTGTCCAGCAGTTGCTTTGTATTGTCAGGTATCTGTGTGTATTGTCCAGCAGTTGCTTTGTATTGTCAGGTATCTGTGATTATTGTCCAGCAGTTGCTTTGTATTGTCAGGTATCTGTCTTTTTCTTCTTTGCGTTCGCCGGTTGTAAACTCCAGCAGAAAGGTCTAGCTGTCCGTCCACCTCTGGACTTTAGTCTTGTTCCAGAACCTGAGTGTTGCGTGTGCATCCGTTGATCAGATCTGGCTTATTTGTTTGCAAACTGCTGGTTCCTTGCCTCTCATTGTGGATTCTCGGGGCACAGGGTTAAGAAATACCTTGCATATGAAAATACAAGAGACAGTAGAATTAGCATGTGACTGACAGTCTCTTCGACAGGATATGATGACAGTGACAGTCTACAAATGACCTGCTACATGATGATGGAAATCATTTGTTGTTACTTTTTATCAAATGATGTAATCTGTTGTTATTATTTTTAATCAAATTATTTACTGAGATAAATGATGATGTGATGATGGTGTGTCTTTGAACAGGTCCAACCCCAAGTTGGTGAAAGTCTGGGAGCGCTACATGGCCACATTCACCCCAGTTGTGCTACGGATGTACCCACGGTGATCTCTGAGCCGTCACATCTCCTGAGCTGAGCTTACTAATTCGTTTCTGGTGCCATTCTTTTTTTGTATGGTTTGATAATGTGACTTGTTTGTTTAGCTCATGGAAGGACAGGGGAAGCTACTACAGTTAAACCAGTTTGCTGCATGACTTGTGGAAATGATGTTTAGCTCATGGAAGGACAGGGGAAGCTACTACAGTTTGACCAGTTTGCTGCATGACTTGTGGAAATGATGTTTAGCTCATGGAAGGACAGGGGAAGCTACTACAGTTGGACCAGTTTGCTGCATGACTTGTGGAAATGATGTTTAGCTCATGGAAGGACAGGGGAAGCTACTACAGTTGGACCAGTTTGCTGCATGACTTGTGGAAATGATGTTTAGCTCATGGAAGGACAGCGGAAGCTACTACAGTTGGACCAGTTTGCTGCATGACTTGTGGAAATGATGTTTAGCTGATGGAAGGACAGGGGAAGCTACTACAGTTGGACCAGTTTGCTGCATGACTTGTGGAAATGATGTTTAGCTCATGGAAGGACAGGGGAAGCTACTACAGTTGGACCAGTTTGCTGCATGACTTGTGGAAATGATGTTTAGCTCATGGAAGGACAGGGGAAGCTACTACAGTTGGACCAGTTTGCTGCATGACTTGTGGAAATGATGTTTAGCTCATGGAAGGACAGGGGAAGCTACTACAGTTGGACCAGTTTGCTGCATGACTTGTGGAAATGATGTTTAGCTGATGGAAGGACAGGGGAAGCTACTACAGTTGGACCAGTTTGCTGCATGACTTGTGGAAATGATGTTTAGCTCATGGAAGGACAGGGGAAGCTACTACAGTTGGACCAGTTTGCTGCATGACTTGTGGAAATGATGTTTAGCTCATGGAAGGACAGGGGAAGCTACTACAGTTGGACCAGTTTGCTGCATGACTTGTGGAAATGATGTTTAGCTCATGGAAGGACAGGGGAAGCTACTACAGTTGGACCAGTTTGCTGCATGACTTGTGGAAATGATGTTTAGCTGATGGAAGGACAGGGGAAGCTACTACAGTTGGACCAGTTTGCTGCATGACTTGTGGAAATGATGTTTAGCTGATGGAAGGACAGGGGAAGCTACTACAGTTGGACCAGTTTGCTGCATGACTTGTGGAAATGATGTTTAGCTCATGGAAGGACAGGGGAAGCTACTACAGTTGGACCAGTTTGCTGCATGACTTGTGGAAATGATGTTTAGCTGATGGAAGGACAGGGGAAGCTACTACAATTGGACCAGTTTGCTGCATGACTTGTGGAAATGATGTTTAGCTGATGGAAGGACAGGGGAAGCTACTACAGTTGGACCAGTTTGCTGCATGACTTGTGGAAATGATGTTTAGCTGATGGAAGGACAGGGGAAGCTACTACAGTTGGACCAGTTTGCTGCATGACTTGTGGAAATGATGTTTAGCTCATGGAAGGACAGGGGAAGCTACTACAGTTGGACCAGTTTGCTGCATGACTTGTGGAAATGATGTTTAGCTGATGGAAGGACAGGGGAAGCTACTACAGTTGGACCAGTTTGCTGCATGACTTGTGGAAATGATGTTTAGCTGATGGAAGGACAGGGGAGCTACTACAGTTGGACCAGTTTTGCTGCATGACTTGTGGAAATGATGTTTAGCTCATGGAAGGACAGGGGAAGCTACTACAGTTGGACCAGTTTGCTGCATGACTTGTGGAAATGATGTTTTAGCTGATGGAAGGACAGGGGAAGCTACTACAGTTGGACCAGTTTGCTGCATGACTTGTGGAAATGATGTTTTAGCTGATGGAAGGACAGGGGAAGCTACTACAGTTGGACCAGTTTGCTGCATGACTTGTGGAAATGATGTTTAGCTGATGGAAGGACAGGGGAAGCTACTACAGTTGGACCAGTTTGCTGCATGACTTGTGGAAATGATGTTTAGCTCATGGAAGGACAGGGGAAGCTACTACAGTTGGACCAGTTTGCTGCATGACTTGTGGAAATGATGTTTAGCTCATGGAAGGACAGGGGAAGCTACTACAGTTGGACCAGTTTGCTGCATGACTTGTGGAAATGATGTTTAGCTGATGGAAGGACAGGGGAAGCTACTACAGTTGGACCAGTTTGCTGCATGACTTGTGGAAATGATGTTTAGCTGATGGAAGGACAGGGGAAGCTACTACAGTTGGACCAGTTTGCTGCATGACTTGTGGAAATGATGTTTAGCTGATGGAAGGACAGGGGAAGCTACTACAGTTGGACCAGTTTGCTGCATGACTTGTGGAAATGATGTTTAGCTGATGGAAGGACAGGGGAAGCTACTACAGTTGGACCAGTTTGCTGCATGACTTGTGGAAATGATGTTTAGCTCATGGAAGGACAGGGGAAGCTACTACAGTTGGACCAGTTTGCTGCATGACTTGTGGAAATGATGTTTAGCTGATGGAAGGACAGGGGAAGCTACTACAGTTGGACCAGTTTGCTGCATGACTTGTGGAAATGATGTTTAGCTGATGGAAGGACAGGGGAAGCTACTACAGTTGGACCAGTTTGCTGCATGACTTGTGGAAATGATGTTTAGCTGATGGAAGGACAGGGGAAGCTACTACAGTTGGACCAGTTTTGCTGCATGACTTGTGGAAATGATGTTTAGCTCATGGAAGGACAGGGGGGAAGCTACTACAGTTGGACCAGTTTGCTGCATGACTTGTGGAAATGATGTTTAGCTGATGGAAGGACAGGGGAAGCTACTACAGTTGGACCAGTTTGCTGCATGACTTGTGGAAATGATGTTTAGCTGATGGAAGGACAGGGGAAGCTACTACAGTTGGACCAGTTTGCTGCATGACTTGTGGAAATGATGTTTAGCTCATGGAAGGACAGGGGAAGCTACTACAGTTGGACCAGTTTGCTGCATGACTTGTGGAAATGATGTTTAGCTGATGGAAGGACAGGGGAAGCTACTACAGTTGGACCAGTTTGCTGCATGACTTGTGGAAATGATGTTTAGCTGATGGAAGGACAGGGGAAGCTACTACAGTTGGACCAGTTTGCTGCATGACTTGTGGAAATGATGTTTAGCTGATGGAAGGACAGGGGAAGCTACTACAGTTGGACCAGTTTGCTGCATGACTTGTGGAAATGATGTTTAGCTGATGGAAGGACAGGGGAAGCTACTACAGTTGGACCAGTTTGCTGCATGACTTGTGGAAATGATGTTTAGCTGATGGAAGGACAGGGGAAGCTACTACAGTTGGACCAGTTTGCTGCATGACTTGTGGAAATGATGTTTAGCTCATGGAAGGACAGGGGAAGCTACTACAGTTGGACCAGTTTGCTGCATGACTTGTGGAAATGATGTTTAGCTGATGGAAGGACAGGGGAAGCTACTACAGTTGGACCAGTTTGCTGCATGACTTGTGGAAATGATGTTTAGCTGATGGAAGGACAGGGGAAGCTACTACAGTTGGACCAGTTTGCTGCATGACTTGTGGAAATGATGTTTAGCTGATGGAAGGACAGGGGAAGCTACTACAGTTGGACCAGTTTGCTGCATGACTTGTGGAAATGATGTTTAGCTCATGGAAGGACAGGGGAAGCTACTACAGTTGGACCAGTTTGCTGCATGACTTGTGGAAATGATGTTTAGCTGATGGAAGGACAGGGGAAGCTACTACAGTTGGACCAGTTTTGCTGCATGACTTGTGGAAATGATGTTTAGCTGATGGAAGGACAGGGGAAGCTACTACAGTTGGACCAGTTTGCTGCATGACTTGTGGAAATGATGTTTAGCTCATGGAAGGACAGGGGAAGCTACTACAGTTGGACCAGTTTGCTGCATGACTTGTGGAAATGATGTTTAGCTGATGGAAGGACAGGGGAAGCTACTACAGTTGGACCAGTTTGCTGCATGACTTGTGGAAATGATGTTTAGCTGATGGAAGGACAGGGGAAGCTACTACAGTTGGACCAGTTTGCTGCATGACTTGTGGAAATGATGTTTAGAAAGGGAATTATTTGAAGTCATCAAATCATAGAATATTTGAGTATAGATTTTAATTGACCCTGATTGTTCTGCTACTACATTATTCTACCTTCAGTGTTTCCCAAATTTGTTTGCCCCCCCCCCCCCCCCCCCCCCCCCCCCCCCCAACTTCAATGAAAAATCTTGCAGCACCCCTTTCCCCCAAAAATATCATCATCATCATGTGGACAGAGAAAACATTGGCAGACATCATTGGCCAGCCTACACAAGCAGCAGAATCCCGGATCAAGTCGGGCTCTTGTCCCGCCCCATGCATGAGGCCCAGGTGTTAATCTTTTTGCTTTCCCCCTGTCCTGTTTCTGTTAATTTTACTAGTAGTCCCCAAGTTCTTGAGTTTATTTCTTACAGTAAAATATACCTTCTATAATTTAAAAAAAAAAAAAAATGACATAATGGTAATTTTGTTTTGTTTCATCTTACTTTTCTTGCCTTACAACATGCCCTGATCTGTAATTTGTGTAGTTTTTTCCTCTAGTTAAACTTCATCGATTGTTTAAAGTGTTTCTTTGAGATATTAAAACTCTGAGATAGATTGGTCTTCATGAGGTTTTCTTTGCTAGATCTGCCTGTCCATTTCTAGGGATCCATAGCCAGAAGACATTCACTGCTGGGCTAGTTCTCTTCTTGTAGACAACATTCTGGCTTGTTGTCATTGAAGTCTTCACATGGATAGAAGCTTTGTTCATTACATTCTGGCTTGTTGTCATTGAAGGTCTTCACATGGATAGAAGCTTTGTTCATTACATTCTGACTTGTTGTCATTGAAGTCTTCATATGGATAGAAGCTTTGTTCATTACATTCTGGCTTGTTGTCATTGAAGTCTTCACATGGATAGAAGCTTTGTTCATTACATTCTGACTTGTTGTCATTGAAGTCTTCACATTGATAGAAGCTTTGTTCATTACATTCTGACTTGTTGTCATTGAAGTCTTCACATGGATAGAAGCTTTGT